TACTGCTATACAGACCTACCACTAGCTCATCTTTGTGCCACAATCTAGGCAGCATGTAAACTTACTCCACAGCTCTGCCATGAACCCAAAGTGGCTGTTTGTCACAATATATTTTCCCATCAAATCGACCTCCAATCCCCTCATATGCAAACAGAACCTGCAACAAAGCTTTACAAACATTGATTGACTTTGTCAGCAAATAAGGCATCAACTACTGTATTCTGGATAGAAGAGGAGCAGCATGTGTGATGGCATTGACACATTATTAGATAATTTGTTTCAAAATGGAAAAGGGAATATGAATTTCAGCTACATTTGCACATGTTAAATCTTCTAATGCTTTACCTCGCAATCCAAATGTATTTCTGATTGTCAGTCCAAATACTACAATGGTGTGTAATGCCCAGAATCACCCAAAATGTTGGTCCTAATACTTGCATCGGATGGCAGATGCTCACATAAAGAAAATCATAACATTTAAAACAAGCTTTAATGTTTACAAAGTGTTCTTTCCAAAAGCAAAGGAAAACATTTAACGGTACATAGTTAGGGAGATTCAAAAAAGACAAGTCCATTGAGTGCAGCCAGAAAATTAATTGATAAAGAAAACAAAACCTGCATAAATAGAACTCTTAACCCACAGCTGATCCAGAAAGGCAAAAAATTGTATAATGCATGCAGAGGCGGCTCTAGAGTTTGCGAGGCCTTAGGCGAAACCTAAACATGAGGCCCCGCTCAGGCCTGTGGGGTCTCACCAGGGCTCGGAGGGGGTCTCACCAGGGCTCGGAGGGGGTCTCACCAGGGCTCGGAGGGGGTCTCACCAGGGCTCGGAGGGGGTCTCACCAGGGCTCGGAGGGGGTCTCACCAGGGCTCGGAGGGGGTCTCACCAGGGCTCGGAGGGGGTCTCACCAGGGCTCGGAGGGGGTCTCACCAGGGCTCGGAGGGGGTCTCACCAGGGCTCGGAGGGGGTCTCACCAGGGCTCGGAGGGGGTCTCACCAGGGCTCGGAGGGGGTCTCACCAGGGCTCGGAGGGGGTCTCACCAGGGCTCTTTGGCATCTCACCAGGGGCCTGAGGGGTCTCACCAGGCTAGTAAAACCACACATAGCCATGGTGGGACCCCACAGAGTCCTGGTGCTGGTGAGACTGGGCACTTTGGGGTCTCCCCTGGGCTCTGTAGGGTCTCGCCAGCCCTGGGTAAACCCCACAGAGCCTTGGTGAGACCCAGCAAAGCCCCGGGGAGACCATATAGAGCCCTGGTGGGACCCTACAGAGCCCAGGGGAGACCCCAAAGTGCCCAGTTGAGACCCCAAAGTGCCCATGGACTCTCCAGGGTCACAGGGCTCTCACCATTGCTGTAGCCTGTGAAGGCTGCCTCTCGTCAGGACTGTGCAGGGAGCGTCTCACGGGCGGGAGCGTGCAGGACGAGCCGTTGCTGACTACGCTTCCGTCCATCTGCCCCTGACGATCCACCCTCCCAGCCAGATTTAACTCCGCCCTCCCAGCCAGATTTAACTCCGCCCTCCCAGCCAGATTTAACTCCGCCCTCCCAGCCAGATTTAACTCCGCCCTCCCAGCCAGATTTAACTCCGCCCTCCCAGCCAGATTGGGATCCTCGCACAGTGGATGGGAGGGGTGAGATGGCTTCCCAGTGGCTGGGAGGTGTGGGCGGAGCTCCAGAGGACCACTGGCTGAATGGACGGACCGAGGAAACAGATAAGTTCTCAGCCCGGTCGCTGTCAAACGGAGAGTCTCCGTTTGACAGCGACAGGGCTAAGAGCTCATGACGTTACCTGGGTGTGAGGTAATGTGACAGCAGGGCAAATTAGGCGGCCGCGAGGCCCTCGGGAGCGCGAGGCCTAAGGCGACCGCCTAATTTGCCTAATTAAAGAGCCGCCTCTGAATGCATGATCCAATTTGCTCCAACAGGTAAAAAATGCCTTTCCGATTCCCTAAGGCAATCGTATATTTCCCAGATCAACAAACCTGGTGTTATTACTTATAAGCATTAATATTCAGTTATTATGATCTCTATCTCTCTCATTTTAGAAATGTCTGTGAATTCATTCAAAAGAAAAAACTGAAATATCACATGTACTTAAAGGAGAACTATGAGGTGAGTGCTTTCCACTCACCTCATAGTTCTAGCCGACCTGTGACAATGAGACTGTCACAGGTCGGCTCAGTAGATCGGGAGGTGAGCGAACACATACCGGGTTCGCTCACCTCTCGATCCTGTCACGGCTCTCTGCCGTGACAGGGGGAGGGCTGGATTCCCCTCTCCCCGCTCCGATCTGCCAGCGCTGACTGGCGGAACGGACGGGGGAGAGGGCGGGTACAGCTGGCTCTGCCTCTAGATAGGCAGAGCCAGCTGTCACTCACGCAGCTGGGCGGATCCCATCATCTACGTCGGGATCCGCTCCGGTGTCTCAGTATACCGCGAGCTGTAGCTTGCGGTATACTGAGCTTAGGGTAACAGGAGGACGCTAGTTTGTGTCCTCCCGTTACCCTAAGGAGAACTATGGGGAAAAACACTGACCCCATAGTTCTCCTTTAAGTATTCAGATCCTTTACTCAGCACTTTGTTGAAGCGCCTTTGGCAGCAATTACAGCTCCGAGTATTTTTGGGTATGGCACGACAAGCTTTGCAACCTGGATTGGGGGATTTTCTGTTACTCTTCTTTGCAAATCCTTTTAAGCCTTTCCAGTCTCCCATTTCCTTGCTGCTGAAAAACATCCCCATAGCATGATGCTGCCACCACCATGCTTCACTGTTGGGATAGTATTGCGCAGGTGATAAGCGGTGCCTGGTTTCCCCCAAACATAACGTTAAGAATTGAGGCCAAACAGTTCAATCTTGGTTTTATCAGACCAGATAAACTTGTTCCTCACAGTCTGAGAGTCCTTCACGTGCTTTTTTCAAACACCAAGCGGGCTTTCATGTGTTTCTAGCCACTCTGCCATAAAGGCCAGATCGGTGGAGGGCTGCAGTGATGGTTGACCTTCTGGAACTTTGTCCCATCTCCACACAGCATCTCTGGAGGTCGGTCAGAGTGAGCATCGGGTTTCGGTCACCTCTCAAACTAAGGTCCTTCTTCCCCTGATGGCTTAGTTTGGCTGGGTGACCAGCTCTTGGAAGAGTCCTGGTTGTTTGTGCCAAACTTCTTCTATTTAAGAATTATGGAGGCCACTGTGCTCTTGGGAACCTTCAGTGCAACAGAAATATTTTTTTTAGCCTTCCCCCAGATCTGTGCCTTGCAATAATCCTGTCTCTGAGATCTGAAAGCAGTTCATTTGACCTCATGGATGTTGCTGTGATACAGTATGCATTGCCAGCTGTGAGGCCTTCTATAGAGAGGTGTGTGCCTTTCCAAATCATGTCCAATCAATGTAATTACCACAGGTGGACTCCAATCAAGGTGTAGAAACATTTCAGCAACGATCCAGAGAAATGGGAGGTGCCTGAGCTAAATTTCAAGTGTTGTTGCAAAGGGTTTGAATACTTAAGTACATGTGCTATTTCAGTTATTTTTAATAAATTCACAGACATTTCTAAAATTCTGAATTAACTTTGTCATTATAGGGTACTGAGTGTAGATTAAGGAGAACAAAAAATGAATTTAAACAACTGTAGTATCAGGCTGCAACATAACAAAACTGAAACTTTTGAAGGGGGCCTGGATGCTTTCTGAATGCACAGTATATACATGAAAGTATTTTTCTCACTTTAGAAACTTCAGCTTGGCATTGCATCATGTTACACTATCAAAGTTATTCACAAAAGGGTGAAGAGTTTGGAGAAGGCAGGAGAAGTGAACGATCTAGGCCAAAATAGCTGAACTGGAAAGGCGCTGAATTGGAGAATATTTCCAAATCAGCTATGTTGTCCTAGATTGTTCACTTCTCCAAACTCTTCACCCTTTTGTGAATAACTTTGATAGTGTTATTGTATTTGTTGTGCCCCAAATTCATACTTTTTAGTTGCCTTTGATTTTCTCCTTCTTGTGTCCCTCCTATCAGATCTTTCCCAAACTTCCTGTTGAGGAGCACGTGCATGAGTTTGCCGAACAGCACCAGAGCACAGTGGCCCTTACAGTGCATGCATCAGCTGAACACAGCATCAAGCAGTGTGTAGGTTCAGTCTGGGCCAGGAGTGTGCGTGTCAGGGTGACTCCAGACAGACAATGCAAGGCAAAGGAGCAACCTTAGCTCCACACAACAAACTTTCCAAATCTGATTATGCAGTAAAAACTGCACAAAAAAAAGGGCACAGTGAACAATGGCAATGTAAGGTATGCAACTATATTTATTATGTTTTATCCATGGAGGGTTTAATAACACTTTAAGGGTTGCTGGGCTTTCTTTATAGCAAGCCCAGCATGGTAAAACAATGTCACATACCTGTGAGTAATTCAAAATAGTTCAGTGTTTGCAACCATATATTAAGAACAAAATATGAGATAATGCTTATTGTAACCCTTCCATCTGAATGTTAAAAGGAGAAGTATGGGTGAGTGAATTACACGCATCGCATAATTCAAGCTGACCTGTCACAGGTTGGCTCTATTGATTGGGAAGTCAGCGAAAAAACATTGCAGTCACTGACTTTCCCCATCATCTCCCTGTGGAGAGTGGTAACTGCCAGTCATCACTCCCCACAGGGATTCCCCACTCCCCTCTCCAATCCGAGAGGGGGCTGGCAGAGCCAGCCGTCAATCAGCCAGCGGGGTGGATCTCGACAGTGTTGTTGGGATTTGTCTTGGCTGCGATGCTCTCAGCATATAGCAATAGCCCCCTATATACTGAGTTTTGGGTCACCGGATATATGTCCTCTGGTAACCCTGAGGAGTCACCAGGTTGCACCATAGGCTGCCCCATAGTTCTCCTGTAATGACACCTCAGCAATACTCAAAAATAATTTTTACACATTACTTCTGTATAAATTGTCTTGTTCAGACATAAATACATAGTCTTGTTCAGACATAAATATTATAGCTCTTACCTCAAGTATTGCGGCTGACATTCCTTCGGACACTGAACTATTTACTACTGCAAAACATTTCTTTATTACGGCCTGCAGATCTCCTTGCGGAATTTCTTCAACAAGATAAACTCCTTCAACACTGACAAAATCAAAATACAGTTCCACTCAGAGGCTTTCTCACCTTTTAAGCTGGCCAACTATAAATAGTTTGTGCTAACATAAATGTATTTAAGCATGCAGTATGTTTTCTTAGTATGGTACTGTTGCTACTAGAGTGCAGTATTTTCAGATATGGTAAAAAAGCAAATAAGTGTGATACAGTAATATTTGCAACTACTGCTGCTGCCCTAATATGACTACCACTACCTAGATTAGTAGGTTGGGCCAAGTCACATTTTTTCTTATTCTTGTGTGTTTTGTATGGCTCAAAGATAGAACCACATTTTCAACTGTTTAAAAAAAAAAAAAAAACTAACTTATGGCTTTTTTTATGCACTGCCAAGATCTGGTCTTGGTAGCGAGTTTTCTGCTTTAAATACTTAAATAGCTGAATAATAACTAAACATAATTAAGTTAAATTTATTTGAAGGAAGAAATATATGAGGAAAAATAATAAGTGGTAGAAATACACATTAGGGTTTGATGTCACTTGTAAGAATGTCATTTAACATTCACACAGGAAGCCTTATATTCCGCCTTAATATCAAACATCTTTTTAATGTAACTCAAATACTTTCAGTTTACCTTGAGACACTTATTTTTCTAAATTAAACCCAAAGTAAGTACAGCTATTTTCTATTTGTCAAAGCATTCCCAAAGGATGCACTTTCAACATAAAGCTACACCATTAGATACCTATTAGATATCTAATTGGTTAAATTCAAACTATATAGGAGAGGATGATTAATATTGATTATAGCCTGTTAATGATCTAACACCAACAAGCACAGCATATTGGATACTAAAAGCAACTAACTAATAGGCCCAATTCACAAGCCTGCACATCCGTAAAAGGATCCTTATTTTTAAAAAGTGACAGTAATTTTTAGCTAAGTCCAATAAGATTTCAAAATTACCATCACATGGCTAAAATAAAGATGATATGCTTATGTTAATGCTTTGCAAATTGAGTCTAAGCTGCAAAAGTTTAACTAATAGCGCCCTGATAGAAGTAGGTATATAATTCCTGCATCAAACAGATGGATTTTCATATCTGTCCATATATGCATGTGTATGACTAATTCCTGATATATGCATGCAAATCAGTACAGAGCTAAGCAGATCAGGCCTTTATATGTCTAATTAAAGATGGAAACAAGTGCTATGTTTAGCATACTTACTTTCTGAGTTTGGCTTTGACCTCACTAGTAAAGAGTGGGTCGACCTACAAAAACAGAAGTGGGAAAATGAACCAAGATGGCATAAAAGCATAGTAACATTTAAATGGTCACTCAATAAAGCTTGATATGGTCTGGACAAGTCTCCACTTGAACTGCGAACCAATAAGGTCTGCATAATTAAAACAATTTCAAAGTGATTATACAGACTGTAGCATTTTTACTTGTCTGGGTTGCCGTTAGAGAGATTTTCCTTTTCCAACCTTTGTACCAGAAAGGACGTAAAGGAATCTCTCCAACTATTGCTTCTCCATTCTATCCAAAAAAAAAATGGTTACAGATACATTTTAATACAAATGTCAGAGGATGTACGAAAAAAAAAAGCACACTACTGCTTGAAGAAAAAGGAGTAGCCCATCCAATGTTTATTTTAAAATATCTGTAAACACAAGCTACAAGACAAAGACCAGCTTTTGATAATTTAAAAGATCTGCTGCTATATGAATTAGCCTGCATTTACACATGCGCGTGACATTAACGCACATCACATTCATGCACGTTCATTCGTGTTTGTGTGTCGTGTTTCCCTATTGAGTCCTATGCTTCTTCGTTTGTGCACATTTTGGCGTGTGTTCACGGAACACGCAGGTATGAATGCGGACTTAGTCACATTTTTAGAATCTGTAGTTCTCGTTAAGTATTGATGCCATTAGTCATTGCTATGGAAATATGGAAAGATCTTACAAGAAGTGTAATATGATGTATTAAAAGCGTGGAAACAAACATCTCCATTGATTTTACGAGTACACATTGCAGACATAACAAAGCACTATAAAAATAAAATCGTCTTTTGCGTCTACATCGGATTTGTAGTTACTTTACTGGCAATGCATTACCTAGAGGAAAAACTGCAAAGAATTAAGCAGACTAAGGCTAATGTTGGAAGGGCAGCTCTTTCAGCGTTCTTGCTGCTGGTGACCTGTTAAAATAGCCAATGGCAGGAATATTCAGCAGCAATCGGGCCAGCGACAGATCGATATCTTGTGGCATCTGGCAACAGAAGGTTCGATTCCATAGGGACAGATAGGCAACCCCTTTAAGGTGCCCATACACTGCACGATTCTCGTACGAGAATTGCGGGAAATCCCGCGATCGTACGAGAATCGTGCAGTGTATGGAAGAAGTGCGACCGTTCCTAATGTACGGTCGCACGACTCTTCTATATCGAGCATGTTGGAAAACCAGCTGAGAATCGTACGATTTTCGGCTGGTTTTTAACATGACCGAGAGATCACTGCCGAACGGGCCGGTGTGCACTGCCCGTTCAGAATTGCAGTCATCGGAAGATCGCAGGTACGATCTGCCTGTCCAAGATGGGCAGATCGTACGTTTTTTTTTAAATTACTTTACAACCCTCGCAAGACAAAAGTCTTGCGAGGGTTGTAAAGTGTATGGGCACCTTTAGAGATCCTGCCGCTGACGATTTGTCTCTTAACAGCAGAATCGGCCAGCTGACATCAATCTAAAGCAGAAAACGACCAACCCAAATGTGGGTGATATTTTGCTAGAATAGCACATTCGGTTATTGCCCATAGTAATTTTTTACAGCTGTGGAAAGACCTCTAAATAAATAAAAACCTTATCTGCTGCCTGTTTGTTCTTGTCACTGCCATCCATTCAACCAAGTCACTATCCATTAATCATTTGACATTATTATCGATTATTCGATTAGTTGGTTGCAGCCCTTTTTGAGTTTACATATACTTTAACCTCAAAGAGTGGAAACTGCAGCGGATAAGATACTGCTGAGTTTGCATGTATATAAAATAGGAGAGTTATCTTTCACAAACAAAAGTGAATTTACACTTCACAAAAGGAAAAAAGGAAAAGACTGAAAACTCCACGAGGTATTGTACAGTGCGAATCTTTTGTGGAGCGGGTTAGGAACAAACTTAACCCGAATGGCAACTGGGTACTTTACAACAGTTACTATTGTGGTCATAGTATGCCCTCAGATCAGTAACCACCCATGCCCTGACACAGGTTATGTTTTTTGTACTCGAAAGCCACCATACAAATATACAGGTTCTGCATCATAACAATTCTGAAGCATATGCTTGTTTATTTCCGCTACAATGACCAACATAATAAAAATGAACACGGTGATCCCATAGAAAAAAAAAGAAATGCATTCTATATGTTTTTTCTTTTTTTATTTGGATCCAATTTATAACATACAACGTTCATATCAACAATGAATATTTGTGAAGAAAAGTATATTATTCTAACAAGTTGTGTCAGTATTGTTTGCACGTTTGTCTTCCACTCTGATTGACATACAAATATTTTTGTGTAGCAGAGCAGAATCAATGACACATTGAAAATTCGATATCCTACATGCTCAAATCAAACCATGTTTATAAATTAAGCTATACATATGTATCAAGCCACCTGAGAAGGAAATCTTATTCATACTACATGTTCTTAATGGAAGAAGAATGCATTAAAACAAAGTGCACTACAATGTGTATTTCAATGTGAAACTATTTTTGGATTTGGATACAGCAGGGAAGGGTAGGAACCTTTGTCAGACTATGTCAAATTTGTCCTCTAACTCTTTTTTTCTTAAAACATGATATTAACGGGAATCTTCCCAATGGGATCAAAAATAGCAATAAAACTAACAAATGTTCTAATTCTTCCCCACACTACTTACAAAATTGTAAAATGTCCCTCACTTCCTTGGGCCACCTAAGGACTGAGAAGAAATATTTCCTTTGTGGAAAGGGTCCCCTTCACCTCCTATAACCACTTAGGGAGTGAGAGGATATAACCCCATGGGAAAGAGCTCCCCCTCACTTCCTGCCACCACATAGGGAGCAAAAGGAAATATCCACAACGGGATCAGAGAAAACAATAAAAGTCTGATAGAGATTCTAAGCCTTCTCAATTCTAACTAAAATTGGAAAAAGTTTACCTATTGCTGTGCTTTCAGTATGAGGAAAGCAAGAGGAAAATATTTCCAACAACAATTTAGAGCAAACTGCTGAAGTAATAATTTTTATTGACTTAAAAAAAGCCATTTACAATAAGACCTCATCCCCTGACCTGTAACCAAAGGTTGAATGGACTCCTGCCAAGTAATTCCTGTAAGATGACTGGCCCAACAATTTTAAGATAGAAGGCACCTTACATAGCTAATTTTCCTGGACTATCTCAACTATTCCCTTCACCCAAGAGCACAGCATTGCAAACAGATCTTGGTGGATTAGCATTTAATGCAGAAAGATTGACTTTAAATCATTTTTAAATCATATTTGTCTGAGAAGGCATTCTATAAAATTACACTCATATACTACATACAAGCTAGGAAACCATCTTTTTTTCTCAAAACTAAACCTATTGCTACTGTTGTAGCACCATAACGTTCCATAACTACTCTTACCTCCTCTTCATTGGCTGATGGTAACTTTTCTACAGGATGCATCTTCTGTAAAGATGTGCATTTATAATATGTTTGGGGCCTCTTGTGCCCTTTTGCATTTTTTGTTTTGCATCATCAGTCTATTTGTTGCATCTTTAGGCATTGTTGGGACTGCATTACAGATATCCATCTTAGATTTTACTGTTGTTAGTTAAATGTTATTTTCATAAACACCAAAATCCAGTGTCACAAACTGCTTTTTATTATCTACAATGATGTAATGAGACTGCTCACATACCAGATCCTCCGAAAGTCATGACATGAATCAAGGGGACAACAAAATTGATACATACAGAAGGCTTGAACAACTAATTTATTATGTATTTGTGTTCACGTCTGTCCTTGACCCAGACCAGTTATTAATTTCTAGCAGATAAGACAAACAATCCAATATAGTAAAACAACTGCAGTACCAACACAAAAAAAAACAAGTATAACCAGTAAAAAAAAACCAATACAATACAATTATAATATATGCAATTAAATCCCAGATCAGTAATCATGTAGAAAAATCAAAAGCTGTACTTACCATTGGTCCAATTATAGCCAAATGAACATTTGGTTCCCTTTTATGCCACTCTAGGATAAAGGATTTGCATTAGATTTGTACTAAATGATTTAATGTGATTTTAATATAATGTGCATGGAGCGGAAGCATCTAGAATTAGTAAAGCTTACAGTGAGTTGCTATGATTGCAATTTAATTAACAGCAGAATATCATCAGGAGTACTGTTATTCAGATTAGGCAAATATTTGTGCAGCCAAGCATGTTACTGCGGCTTAGGGGCAGCAAGTACAGCATGCACTTTTAATATTTTATGCTCTTGTAACATGGAGGTAGCGGATGCTGAAATCTCACAATCATACTAGCAGCAAGGACCGTAAAAAAAAAATTAAAAAAAATAAAAAATTTAGTGAACCCTAAAGCATCTTCTCTAATTCTGCATTAATGGCTCCTAAACACTAATAAACTTAACATATGATACAACGGCATTTTACACAGTCATATCATTATGGTATTATAGGTTTAAACCCCTGGGGCCCATCCTACAGCCTTGGGAGCCACATGCAGTCCTTTGGCACTCCTTGTGCAGCCCTCGGAGACCGCACAGAAAGTAGTCTGTATTTTCCTTACCTAGGTTCTTACTCAGGCCAGTGGAAATATTTGTTAGACTGTGTTCTAGCAGATCATGTTTTTCTTCCTCTAAACTTTCATATTGGATCTTGCTATGGCACAACTCATTCATGTGCCCTATAGAGATCACAAATGTGGAAGCATTAATACGTGAAGGTGCTGTAATAGCAGGGATCTCTAGTAGTGATGAGCCTGGACTTGGTGCAAACCCAGTTTGTTTGAGTTTACGCACGCTCAAAACTGTGAGTGCCACCCCGCTCTTGGACAAATCAGTTGCGGAGAGGTGCATATACGTCACAAAGGGATGGTAATGTTGCAACTGGCTCCACTGACTGGGCTGAGAGGGTGGTCACAGTTTTGAGTGGGCTTGGGCCAACTCCGGTATACTGGGTTCACAGCATGCCCAGGCTCATCTCTAAACTCAAGCCAACCATGTGGAGGAATTTTCTTTTCACATTATTGGACAACTGAAGTAAATTTTTACTCAATTTATTAAGTGAAGATTCTCAACTTTTGTAAATCAGTGTAAATCAATGCATTTCCAATCTGTCTTTAAATCTTGTCCCTAGTCTGCAACAACTCCTACAGCAAACTCCTACAGTCCTAGCTTCACACTGGACAGCAAAAGACCAACAGCCGACTGATAAGATCCTTTGTCTATTTCTTCTGTTGTCACTTCCTATCTGCATGTTCTGTCCCCTTACATTTGAATTCAGCATACCTGATTGGTTCCCAGTGCTGCTTTTCTCTCTCACAGTCAGAGTGCTGCTGTATAGTGGACTGTAAGAGGCTGCTATCAATTCAGGTACTTATACTAGACAAATTAAAAATAAATAAATGTAATCCTTTATTAATGAATAAAGATTTGCATTAATTTGTGTCTTTCATATCTGCCGTGAGTTCACCTTTAAATAATGATGTCATTTTGGATGAAGAGGGGACCACATCTTAGGAGACATTCATACAGAAATTCAGTAATTTAATCATGAATTACTCAGTAATGGACAGTAACGCACAGCTATTACATGCCAGCTAATAGCAGCTTAGCATAGGCTAATAGTCAATATTTTCCTTGTTAATTACAAACAAGGTCAAAAACTTCCAATAATTATGATTCTCCGTACTATACAGCCGTGTACCAGCTTGTCACAAGAGCAATCACAGAAAAAAAACCTCATTACTTATCTGCAGGTGCGAAAGATCATTAAATTACCATTACAATCAAAACTATTGATAATGTGAATTTTGTTGTGTTCAATTTTACAGGCTTACAGATGGTAACATAGGGAGCATTTGTGTATTGTTATGAATTATGAAACATGTGCAATAGGATTGTAGTTGTTATAAATTAATCTTTAAACAGTACAGAAAAGTAAAGTCAGTCACTGGATTGTTAACACTATTCACAAAACTGTGCAGCTAAAGTCAGGATGTTCACTCTGTTTACCTTTATCTTTTATAAAATAACATTTCTACAACTACAACCCCTCCACCCCCCAATCACCACCTCATTTATTTGGGTAAAGATTTATGGTTTAGTAGCTGCTTATAAATGTGGGGTCCTTCTGTGTGGGTAGGCTGCTTCAGGGCTGAACAGACAGTGAAGGGAGCCAGAGAAGTAACAGGACGTGGTCTAGGACGTGATGATACATCTTCCAGTAGTGCAGGAAGACTGCTGTCAGAAGAATGCGGAATATAGTCACTTTTCCATGGATCCCCAGGCTATTGAAATCAAGACAGCTTTTGAAAGTTGGAGGGTGCAGATGCACAACAATAATAGATTCCTTTAAGAAAAACAGAAGTCCTGGAAGTGAGGCAGTGTTCCTTGTGGTAATATCATGGTTATTTTTTTATTGTAACTGAAATGTACCTTTAATATTGGGGATTTTAAGAAACTAAATGTAGTTCAACTTCTTCATTCAGGTTTAAATATAAAAATTGTGTTATTAACACACGGCATGGATTAAAGAACACCTTCACTAAAGACTACGTATAATGATGAAACTAAATTTTTCTATAAATGTTACGGGGAACAGGCTGATAACCTGTCTGGGCAAACATATAAGATATGCCTTATTTAAAAAATAATTGGTCGCAACATCCCAGAGATCTTCAGGCCATACCTATTTTCCCTCAAAGAGCTCAATTGGTGGCTGACTAAATACTTTTTTGCCCCACTGTACATGCCAGGACATACTTAAACTGAGTGCTTAGGACTCAAAAACTAAAAACAAATAACATTTATTGACATAGTATTTAAAAACATAGTTCAATATATGTTAATATATGTTAACCTTGGAAGCAAATCAAACTGTTGCATTAGCTTCCAAGGTTAACACCTGTAGAAGTGGAGGTGGGCTTTCCCTGGGAACACTATATACAGATGTTGCTCGCTTACCGACTTACCTGTTTTGCGACCACTCGCACTTACGACGGACCGCCGATCGACCTCCGACCTTGCGCGTCAGCGTCAGTGCGCGTGTCGCCGGCGGAAGTGACGTCCTCCGATCTTCACTGCGGGTCCCGGTAAGTATTTCCATTGCCCGATGTACAGTACACGCTATACAGTACTGTACTAATGCAGTACAGTACTGTATAGAGTTCCTCACTTAACGACCAATCCGTTTAACGACCTGGTCGTAGGAACGGAACTCGGTCGTTAAATGAGGAATGCCTGTATAGAGGATTTTTGATACCTGAGTTAGTGGCCACGTCCCCTCTGAGGAAGTCCCGATCGGGGGGGGGAACTCATCAGGGTACGCAAGTGGGATGCCCTGGTGCAGTAGCTATGATTTTTGGCGTCTCGGCTCCATGTAAAGGAGTGCATACAAATGATCGTTATCGTTACATGGATTGTCTGAACTTCTGACAACCCAACTGGAATGACAGCTTGGACAGCTCTGCCTATCTAGAGGCCCATCCCTTGTCTGTCCCTCCAACAAGCATTGGGGGAACAGAGAGGGAAGGCTGGAATCCCTTCAGGGAGCAGTGACTGACATTGATCGCTCTCTGCAGGGAGAAGCTGTGAGCTGAGTGATCAGCAGTTTGGGATCGCTCGTCCTCAAGCTATAGAGCCGGCACGTGACAGCTGCAGTGTCACACGACAGCTCAAACTATTGAGAAGAGAACATTTTACTCTCCCAATAGTTCTCCTTTAAGTAAATGTAAAGGTTAAGTTCAGGATAGCCTCAAAAGCAAAAACATAGATAAATTCCTTTTTTTCTCAGTCACTGCATTTTATCATTAGTTCCTGGCAAAAGAGTACAGTAGGGATGAGAGGATCTGCCCAGGTTTCATTTACGAGCAGTTTTATGAAACGTTCTCAAAATGCCAAAAAATTATATAGAAAGCCAGGCACTGCCATGGGGGGACAGATACCAATGGCAAAATAAAAAAATTAAATAATAGGTATATGGCCTTTTCATGTGGCTTTGAGGACAAAATTAAAGTTAAACATCCCTAGAGTACAGTAATTGTACTAGTCAGAGTAGTAACAATGATTGGGTTGAGTGTAAGTCACTGAATTTAAAGCTGGTAATTCAGCCACAATCTTTAGGATTCATTAGATCTCACCTGACTAGAGCTGCACCCAACTCCAACTGAAATATAAATATGCAGACATAGTAAAGCCTAATACAAATCTCAAAATGTCTATGGCCATTAACGTGATGATGCAAAGTTTTTACTGAAATTAGATGATGGACGTCCATAAAAGCAACTTGGATACCAGCTGTAACAAATGAGCATCTTACATGCATACACAAATATGGAAAGGTATACTTCAGGAAAATGGCAAGAAGATACAGCAACTTCCCTACCAGGGAAGTGTTTACTACAGGTAAAAAGTATATATAAAGCATATGTAAACCAGAGATACCAAAAGGCTGGTATAGAAGTGAATGGATTATAGTTTCCAGTCAGTTGTTGAGCCTGTATTTATGGGAGGATAATAGGGACCAGATAGAGAGGAAAGGAATAAAGCAAAGTACATAGCAAAAGAAAGAGAAAAACAAGAGATGATGGCTGACAAAATGTATGTGAACTGAAAATAGGCCTTTATAATGGGTACATTCTAAGTTAACAATCACTGTTTCATCAACCTCATCCAGTTTTTATGACTACAATGGATCTTACGTGAGTAATCATACATTACCATTTATGTACAATTCTTTCTGAACTGAACTGATAGCACATTCAAGATGTAACATGTGTGACCAACTTAAGAAATCTTCAGCCACTAACCCATGGCAGATGAATTCTTATTTTTACTAATAATCTTCTTCAGATATCTCATAAAAAATGACAGTTGTGTGCTTAATGACAAAAGAACACTTCTTCTCTTCTCTCCAACTGTTCCTAAGTTTTGTCTGTGGGAATTACAGTCTCAGACAATATGTGCTGACTAATGTTTGAGGGCTTCATAATGAGAATAGCACAAGGCATTTCCTAGCAACAGCTATGTTTTTAGCTTCTGTGCCAGGTGAGTACTCCTAAATTGGAACAATAGGGAACGATAGGCCTTAATAATAAGCCATATAGAGCAATTTATTTCACTATACTATAAAAGACATTGTTAGATGATTAATATCATTCAAATATTTGAAGCGTCGCTGTCACCCAACACAGTAAACAAATATGTGCAAAAACCAAATGTTATAGTGAACAATACTATTGTGAAAAAAAAAATTCTAATTCTAATTTTTATAGACAATAACCTTTGATTTACACAAACAGTTGATAAGAAGATTGTATTTGGAAAAAAAATGTTCACAATAGTATTGTTCACTATAATATTTGTTTTTTGCACATATTATTTGTTTACTTGTTGGGTGATAGCGCCGCTTCACATATTTGAATGATATTAATGCAGGCTCATGCAGCCAATTTAAATGAGCAGCTGTAAGGAGGAACGCCCAGTTTTTTAAGAGTAATCGAGCGCAGAAGTTTCTATAGAAAATTTACTGATGGATGCTTTGGAAACTAAAAGAAAATTGGCATATACTACATATACACAGCTCAGACATATAAACCAAAGACAAATAAAGCCTTACAATTGAAATTCAAAACCTCTATTCTCAAATACGGAGATTAAAGTCTATTTTAATACACATTTACATAAGGTGTGATTCCTATTGTGTAATGTGTACAGATGCTCACTTTGCACTTTCAGCAGAATTAGGAGGCCTCCGTCCTGAAAATTTATTGTGTACAGAATAGAGCTCACCTGCAAAAGTATCAACCAGATAGAGGGGATCTTTAACTCTTCGGAGTCCACATATCAAGAGGAAAATATACAAATTTTCTGAAATCTGTTGAATTCCTGAAACACAGCATACAACGGGATTTATTTTAGAGCCAATGCAGTGAATTGAATAAACAGATTTCGATTTTGGATATAAGCTTCCATAATGAGTTCTGGCTTATAGCTGAAAAACAGATTAAAAGTTCAAGATAATCCTATCCAACTTTGCACAAGTTAAAGCAAAATACTATATGTTCTTTTTCTTTAGAAAGTTTTTTTTTCCATAGAGGATTGCACTGGCATTCCTGTTCATGCTCATGAAGAGTAGAGGTGTCAGCAACAACAGCCAAGGTGCTGACTTAAAACTGGAAGTACAAGAAGACATGAGCATTGTCATCTAAACCGCCCAATTCTGGTCACTGCATCTCTTAATCCTGATGAGTTCAGGCAGATTGGGCAACAATCATCTTGTGTGTATAGCTACCTTTAACTGTATGCACTGATGGAAGTAGGCTAGCTCAATAAGCCTTACATTGGCTGCAGAGAGCCAAGAGTTTATAGCAGAGTGTTCCCCTAGACTCTGGCAATTCATGAATAGCAGCTATTCAAGAATGATCAGCAGCTATTTCTTCAGTTAAAAAAAGTGAGCTCTCCCCACCACAGCCATGCAGTGTTCCTTTCTCCACATCTGTGTGCCCTCCTCCCAAAGAGCGCTATCCTCTGCCCGCTGTCTCTGCCATAGCTCCCCGCTATCAGATTCCCCTTCTGTGCCCCCTGCTCTCCCCCCAACCTTTACCAGCATTCAGATTGGTGTTCTAGCTTCATGTCAGGTTTCACCGCTGGCTTTTCTGTTCAGGATGGCGTGCAGGAAGAACGTTAAACATGCTTTTTGTGTTTACAGATCTGCTTCAGTTTCCAAATAAAGATGGAAGAGCGCATTACTGAGCTCTTCCTTACTGAAGGCGATTTATAAACATGAGAAACATGTTTACTGATCTCCTTTAGTTTGTGAATGAACACTGAAGAAGCTTAGTACTGCTGTGTTGTGCATAATATATTTTACATTATATGATTCTTTCAGACACACATGTACGGTAGAGTTACACTTGCAAACAAAATGCAAATGTATAAACATCAGGTTTCTGGAAAAAGGTTTGGTCTCACTGAGATAAATTACATTGTATAGTTAACCCAATATTGACACAAAGCTGCTTTATCACAGTGGTGTAGTGTTTTTTCATTGTTTAGAGACAGTTTTCTGGCAATGGTATATCTGCCCTCTATTGTTTTTCCATTGTTCCTAGCTGGCTTTTTCGCAGTGGGATATTGTTTTGGGGACAACAGCACACCCAATCTGGTCAACAATAGCCTGGTCTTTGACATTTAACTTACTTTAGATGGCATTTGTGAGGCTCTGCTGCCATCTAGAGTTGGAAAAAGAGAGATACACCTGCCCGAAGGTGCAGATTATGCGTTGCTACAACGCATACGTTTGAAGGTAGCCCCCCAAGTAGTTTGCGCATACCGCTTATTTACAGTTTACAGCTGGCTTTCTTAGAGTGGGATATTGTTTTTGGGACAACAACACACCCAATCTGGTCAACAATAGCCTAGTCTTAGGCATTTAACTTACTTTAGATGGCATTTGTGAGGCTCTGCTGCCATCTAGAGTTGGAAAAAGAGAGACACACATGCCCAAAGGTGCAGATTATGCGTTGCTACAACGTATACGTATGAAGGTAGCCCCCCAAGTAGTTTGCACATAATGCTTTTTTACAGTTTGCGATTTTCACCGGTTTTCAAAAAGGCACAATTTAAAATTTACAGGTATTTGTTATTTATTAACACAATAATGTTTTGTGCTTTAGATTTAGTATTTTTGCAAGTTAAGTTTTGTATGGTTATGTGTTCTAATAATGATTTTACTGTATTTGTATCTAAAATACTGTTTTGAGAAACATTTGCAAAACTATTATGGGACATGCAAGATCAGTAACACCATCTTTTATCTTCTATTGGTCCTGTGCTTTTAGAAGAAGGATGCTCTTTTACAAACGCTGAAAGCTGTAAGTGAAACATTATAACACCCTAGAAAAAATGAGCAGTTAACCCTTGCAGTGCAGGGGTAGCCCCACTGTAAGAGTTAATAACATTTGTGCCTGAAGTTCTACTTTAAAGTAGAAGGAAAAGCTAAAATAATCCACGTTTAAAACATTGCCTCACCAATGCTCTTACACACGCTGAATACAGTTGTTAAGAAATCTCTGTGTATATACCTTCTTTTACTCTTCCGAGCAGTCATGTGACTGCGAAGCTCCAGTTCCTCTGTGTGAAATTAGTGGCTGCTGCTGACTAGTGGGAGGGCACATTCACTGCTGACAATGGCTACAGCAGTAAAAGTCGGCAGGTGATATCACGCCTCTGTAATTCAGCCCTATTGTCGGACTTACACATCTACAGAGAGGAGCTGGAACTTTGCGGTCACATGCAGCATTAGTAGCTTGATAGCAAAAAACAGTAATGTAATACATTCAGAGAAACCAAGAAACTTTGTAAATATAATATATTGTTTCTGTCTTTTCTTCCCCCTTGTTTTGAGAGTTATCATCACAGACCCCAGCCAGTGTAAACACTGCTCTATTTACACAGTTTGTCTGAGTCTGCACTGTAATTGCAGCCACATGCAAATAAAATGGCTACACTAGATGTCACAAATTACATAAATGTCTCAATGAGTTTGTTTGATTTCTGTAGATCAGTCTGACAGATACAGACAACCCTTTTATAAGCTTAGCTAAGTCCCATCCATCCTCCCAATACATATGATTTTAGAAATCCAATTGTGGAAAGCAGGCTGCATTTCTAGAGCGAGCCCCTAATGCCATCCTTATTCTCAGTCCTGGTCTGTAGAAGTACTCTGTAGATAGGCTTGTACAGTAGTTGCTTGCTTGTATCAGTTTGCCATCTCCAGGAGTGCTAAGCAGCACAGGAATCATTTACAGCTTCAGGGAGTGAAGATAAGGGATCAAAACGGTATGCAGAATAGATGCCTTTCTTGGTTCCACTTCCTGTCTGCGGTTGCAGTGCAGATGCAGACAAGCTTTATGTAAACAAAGCAACACATTGCTCTGGTCTGGACATGTGATGATACTTCTTAAAGTACAGAGAGGAAAAAGATTTTAAAGTCCATTTCTACCTTTTCAAGTGATTAGCATTTATTGTGGTAATGAAGAGGTGCAGTGATATTGTATATGTGTGCACATTTTCATAACTCACATTGCAGGCTTTCTTCATTTTTTTAATGAAGTTTTTATTAGGCCTGAATGCTACAAATTTAAAATTTTCTCCATAGGAAACTCAGTCTGACATCAGGGTCGGATTGTAAAGCAGGCCGTAAACAGCTCTCCCCTCCCTGTTATTCATTGTAACAAGATCCCTAAACACCAGCTCTGCCTTTGCACACAATATACGGTCCGAGGAGAGGGGGTTACCAGTATGAATACTAATGAATATGGGGTAGGGGGGTGGAGAGCTCATTTGTAATATACACATATTGCTTGCAAAGCACGGAGGCGGACATGTAAGCTTCTGTGTTCATATACAAGTAAAAAACACACACAAGCAACACAGCCTAGTACAATAGATGAGCATACGGCAATGGAATGTTTGAGAATAACAATGTTGCATTCAATGAGATATTGAGTTTTGAAAAAACGATAAGATGTAATCACACGTCAGGTTGCTTTTCACCAGTCATCTTTCCCTCCTTGTGGTACAGCTGCCGCTTTCCTGCCACAGACTGCTCCTGATTCCCAGCCATCCCATTCTTATGTGCCCCTTCCTCGACATACCCTCCCGCTGTCGTACTAGATCCTCTGTCCCAACAATCGTCTTTTTTGCATTACCGGCTCCTCTGCAGCTGCGATTGACCAAGCCCTCAGTCTCAGCTCTCCCAGAAAGAGGGATCCTTCCTCTCCAAGTCCGGTTTCCTGCTGCCTCTCCAAGACACCTCCTTACAGGACCCAGCTGTGGTTCCTCCACTGCCTAGGACAATAGATGAACCTGCCACAATGGCTTAATCCGTACACCAGACATCAGATGGGCTCCCTCTTATACACCGCCATGTGAGTGCAATTTCAGCCTTTTTATCCTGCTAATGGTGTGGTTGTGTTCCTTTTTGAGATACACACATTGCCATCATCTACATACCACCTAGTGGTCTCTGACCAGGAGAGATCTTTCTTCCACAGCCTGACATTTGTGGTTACACGTTATCCTTTTTTCCAAACGCAATATCTCAGTGAGTGCAACATTGTTATTTTCAAACATTCCATTGCCATATGTTCATCTATTGTGCTAGGCTGGGCGCTCGTGTGTGTTTTTTTTACATGTTTTCAGTTCTTCTGCAGGACACCGTCACCTGCCTACCAAAGAGCAGCATGCCACAATCCCCCCATTTGGAACACACTAATCCACATACAATACACACTATTTTTTTTCCTGTGTTCATATACAGCATCTGCATATGCCTGCTTCAGACTCGATGTACATTGCTCGCATATGTTTTTTTTTTTTTTTTTAATACCTTAGCAAAAGGTGGCAATGAGCTTTAAATTATATCTGCAAAGTTGCTGGATATTTTTCTATTTACTAAAAAAAAATGCTAATGCGGTTCTAAAGTACAGATATGCTTTTACTAAAACTGAATAAACTGGAAAGCATGAAAATAAGGTAACAAAACAGCAGTAACAATGCAAAGCTGAAAGAAAGAGAATGAAGCTGAGGTAAAGAAGGGGGAAATAAGGTGGAGAGTGGCTAATTGAATGAACCAAAGCAAAAAGTAAAGTGAGCTGCAGCAAAGCTGATAAAAGAGCAAATAGTGAAAACAGAAGAGAGAGCAAGAGTACTACAGTACAGAGACAGCATGAGTGAAAACAGAGGAAAATAGACTGAAATGGGCCATCACAGGTATAAGAGAGCAAGAGAGGTTTTATTCTTTGTGAGATTCTTAATATATAAATACTGACTACACAAGCCTATAGACATTCCCCAGCCACCACAAGTTATAGTACACTTCA